ACTTGAGCTTCAAGGTCATCATCTTTTAGGTCAAGGGTTTTGTTGTGGTTGCCATACCGACTGATTTATCAGGATTCTCCTCAGCTCATCACAATCACACATTCACAGGAATCTCATTCTTAGTCAAGCTTTAGATTTCACGTAGAAACAGTGTGTTATATATATGATAAATATTAACTATAAGAAATATAATTTTTCTGTTATATATTACACACATAATTTGTATATGTCATATATTAAATATATTTAAATATAATTTTATATTTAATATATACATATATGTATAGATACTACATATATGTAATACAAAATGGCAAAATATATCATTTTTGTATTTAAGATATAGACATACATGTTACATATATATTACATATATATTACATGTCTGTAATATATACACACACATAAATATTTTTCCCAGGTCTCTGCACTGGCTTGGAGATGCTGAAAAGAGAAATATGGTTTCGATGTAATTCAATGTGGGTGTCATGTAAATGATGGCAGCTGTGAAAAGATTATGCTGCCCTATTGCTGCTATTAGGAATCATTTGTGTCCTATACATAACACACAGGGAAAGCAATAGAGGAATTTCATATGATTATATGATTGAGGTGAGTTTTTGAAACACGATTGTGGGAGGTGACAAAGGAAAAGCCATAGAGGTGACCATCACGGCACACACTGGTGATACCTTGGAGAGAGGTGATGGGAATAAACACATCAGAACCTCACAAAATTTGTGTGCAAAAAGCCCTTTGATCTTCTTCTCTGCATTCTAAAAAAAAAAACCCAAACATTTTTTCCTGCCAAAATGCCTTGATCAAGAAACAAGAAATTCATTGTAGCTTTAAACAAATTTGCTTAAAGGAAAGTAAATATGAAAATACTTTAGCACTATAGCATTAAGGAAACAGTGCTGCCACTTAGAATTTTTAGATTTCCAGCTAAAAGTATTAAACTTGACATTTTATTTAGCAGGTGCAGGCTTATATTAGGCAAATGCACAATTCTGTTCCAGCTTCCTGAAGTATTAAAAATGACACCATAGCGTCTCATGAGGACCCCTAGAGCTCAGCAGTCCTTGGCTAGAAACCACCTCTGATGCACACAGAGGTAGCATAGAAAAATAATGGGAAAAGACATACAGCACCATGCTTCTACTTCAGGAGAACACAGGCCCACCAACCATCCATCATGCAGCCCACGCCTGCCCTCTGCGAGCTTCTGAGAGAAAGGCCCTGGTGGGCTTTGACATTTGGCCACTGATTTTGTCACACTCCTAACTCTGGATTTGGCCAGATTCCTGCACCTCTATCACTGGGTTATATTCATACCCTTTATTTCATATCCAGTGTTTTCTACTTTACTTCTTCCTTCCTTTCCATTCTATTTCGTCACTAGCACCTTCTCACTTTCTACCACCATCTCACACCCTTAGCTTAAGGGTGGCCTCTCCTCTCCCAGCACGAGGACTGCTCCCTCTTCCTTGATTGATTCCTACTGAGCGCTGCATGTTAGCATCCCCATTCCAGAGGTAACTGGCACTGGTTTTTTTTATTCTTGAAAAAAATCTATGAACCAACTTTTATATATTAACACAGTTAAAAACACATCTGTAATACAAGACATTAAAGTCACTAAAATGTCACTCTGCTGCAAGCCTGTTATGTTGGATCTGAGGAGGATCATCACTCCAAGAAGATCACTGAGAAGAGGCACCTTGAGTGGTTTTGCCATCATGCGGCAAGGTCATAACTCCAGTGGCTCTATTAGATCCTCTGAGGTTTGAGAGGAAACAAAGAACTGACCTGGATAGTTTTAATGACTGGGTTGCTGCATGCACCTCTATTCCTCAGAAACCATCCTTCCTTTTAACAGCTCACTTGGTGAATATAACGATGCCTTTGTTATCTACAACATTATTATTTATAAACAAATAATTAATAGTCCTATGAGTGAGCCTCCACAGTATGCCGGACTCATGTTTGGCCTTTATATAGCTTTAGTTTGAATCAATGTAGTTTAGTGGTTAAGCATGTGGGCTTTAGGTCCAAATTCTAGCTCTGACATTTGTTGGCTGTGTAACCTGGAGCAAGTTACCTGACCTCTCTGAGTCTTAGTTTCCTCATCTGTAAGAGGGACATAATAATAATAATTGCATCGAATGGGTTGTTTTGAAAAATAGGTGAAAATATAAAACACTTGATACTGAGCAAGCATTCAACCATTATCACCAGACCCATGAGAATCTATAGACTGGCAGAAGTGGTAAAGAAGCAAAAAGGTTGAACTGAACAGAGAAGAAATTTGGAATGTATAGTGCTTTCTGAAACTTGAAACATTAAGAAAATCAAACACTTTTTTTTGAACATTTCCTCCACTCTACGCTCTGTCTGGGAATAGTAAAAATAGTGTATGTAAATATAAATCTTAAGAGCTGGATCTGTACATGGACAATTTAAACAAATATTCAGTGTAATAATTTTATTGTTTTTTAAAAAGAATCTGTAAAAGGCAGCCTAAAGTTTCAGGTATCTACAAATAATTTCAGGTATCCACAAATATACACACACTATGTGTGTATATGAAAGTGCATGCACGCGAATGTGCGTGTTCTTAAAAACATACAAATGAGCCCTACCTTTAAGGCCAAGATCACTGAAAATAAGAAAAATCAGGGACATAAAAAATGACACTTTTTAAAAACTAGTGAGAACACAAAACATAACCATACAAGAATGAGAGAAAGTTAACAAGGAACACTTTAACTTAGTTTAATAATATTTGCACTAATTAATTTCAGGTTCTATGAGTTTCAAGTATGAAATTAATAGAAGAATTTAATAGCTACATAGTTTCAGTCCAATCATAAATAAGGAACAGTGTAAAAAGTACTAACACAGATGGAATTGCTGCTTTATTTATGATTGGAGTTTTCAATGCTCAAATACCCAGAGTATATGGTCCAAATTGTAGGCAGGAGCAATTGAATAACCAGTTCTGATGAACAGAATTTCCAGAAACACAAAGCTTCACTAATATCTAGCAAGTGATTAAAAGCCATTTTATAACTAATGACATTTACTTGAAGTGAAGAATCATATAGTTTGTTAAAACTTTAAAGTTCAGGAAGAATGTCAATGCCAATTAAAGTCCTGACTTTTTATTGTTGGTTTTTCACTTGGGTCAGATAAAAATAAAATGAAATGCCTATTGTGACAACTAGATATTTAGATGACCAAAAATTTAAGTAGGCTATGCATATATATGTATATATAAATAACCTAGAATATTGAAAATATTAACACTGCAAAATATCGTTAGGTTTGAATTCAGAAACCTAAAAAATTGCTACATACGTTTATTTTGTTGCTTTCCAGAAGAAAAATTATTTTACAAATGAGGGCTGGAATTATATGGTTATTTAAAAGCATATGGAACCTGGCAGTAGCACTGGTTAGAAAAAAATGGGATATTTTAAATTTTATCTATGGAATACATACAGTAATGTACTCTCTCAGAGGACAGCAAGTATCTGGGCATAATAAACATGGGATGAAGGAAAAGCTACAACTCAACACCAGATTTGTAAAGCATGGACTAAAGTGGTTCTACTGCAGCAGATTTTTGTTGGTCATGTCTAATCACATAGTTGGTCACTTTCAATTCTGAACTCACCTATTAGATATTTTTTCTGCAACTAGAAGCCACACAAAGTGTTTTCATTGATGACATAAAAGAATATCCCAACTCGCATTTGAAGAACCTATCCCTTCTATCACAGAGTGAAAAGATGTGGAAGACATCATCTCCAGCAGACCCGGGAAGATGCCCATTTGCCTGGGTAACTGTAGGGTGGTGAAGAACTCAAAATCTTCCTTGGTAAGAGCTGAGTAGGATTCGTCGTAACGTGTGTTTGTGAATGTGTGTGTATGTGTGTGTGTGTGTGTGTGTGTTTTCTTATTGATACCCTCTGTTAAAAGCATAGGCTTTAAAGAGAAGAGTAATAAAATGAAATGCCAAATCTGATCATAAGGTAGATAAAAAAATTAAAAAGGTTACACTTTTTGCTTTGTTAAAAATAGAGAGCTTTGGAAAATTCCAAATATGGAGGGCCTGCTTATAATTCCAAATAGAAAGTTTAAGAGCCATGGTTCTGTCAACATTATAACAGTGTGGTTCTGTCAACATTACAACATTATAACAGTTGGGTAGAGTTTGGTAGCTAACATCTCAGCTATTCTGTCAGTGTTGGGGAGGGTGATACAAGAACATCCCACCCAGAGTCCGGTTTTCTTGTGAGCTCTACTTCTCAAAGAGTCTATACTCTTTGATAGTGCCAAATATTCAAGCCAGATATTCACCATGCAACAGAAGCTATGGGAACGGTTAACTATACCTGTAATCCTCCTGCCATTAAGAACATAGCCTCCACACATTTCGAGTTTCATTTTTGGGGGTATGACTTTCACCACGATGACATCCAGTCTGTTTTCATACGTAACCGGGCACACATTTGATCACTTATTCTGTTATGTTTCTTATAATCACTATGGCCACCCGACTAAATTCTCCTTTAGTGTCTAGAGATCAGGCAGATTGACCATAATATTTTTATGATGATGATAAAGAGTATTACATATAATTATGCAAAATGGCAATCTGGCCTTGAGGCGTCTCATTTCCAAACAACCTTCATTTAATGGCAGACAGAGAACACTCTCCAAATCCAATTTACTAAACTGTGCCCATCTTACTTTGATTCAAAAATAACAAAACTATTTCTAGGATATTTATAGAGCAATAGAAAGTTTCCCTTGTTAATATTAAAGTTAAACTTAAAAGAATACCATTTTACCACCTTAGATAGCCTTAACTCATTAAATTTTATTTTGAGGCTCGAACTCTTCAATATTGCCTCTAAGCATATGGGTTGCCCCTGGATTTTTGCCCTTTTTCAAAAAATGTAGATTTAAAAAATTCCCCATTCATTACTTACTTGTTTAAGCTTCTTTAGGTCTTCATCAAGTTCTAAGTTGTCCAAAATAACAGCAACAAACAAACTCAGGAGGATCTATAAAATGGTTAAATAACAATGAAACAACCCACTTGCCATAAGTATCAAGATACTATATATATAATATAGCTACCTAACATATACTGAATATAGAATTCATTAAGTGAAAAATAATCATGCAGTTATGAATCATTGCATAGGCATTTCAAGGTGTTTATCACAAACACATGAAAGAAAATACATATGTTCATTGAAATAATATAAAACGTCCATTTGCTTTATGAAGCCAACTTAAAAAGGAAATTAAGAAAAAGGTTTTTTCTAGCTCAACAATCCCACTTCTGAGATTATATTCTACAAAAGTGATCTGAAGTACTGATGAAAAGCTTAATATACACAGGTGCTTATTAGAGAGTTGTTTGTAATACAGAAATACTAGAAATAACATCCAATCTTGCATGAATAGTTAATACTGTTGTAGAGATTTATGTGATAAGATACATGCAGCCATTACAAATTCCCATTGTGGTAGCTACTCTTCAAGATGGCCTCCAGCGTTGCTCTTCGCTCCTGGTTCATTCCTTTGTGCACCCCTCTTCCACACTGAATATGGCTGGCCTGTGTCACCAGCAGGTTGCAGAAATGATTGTGTGTGACTTATGAGACTATGCAATAAAAGACATTGTGTCTTTACCCTTGCTCTCTCCTAGATCACCTGCTCTGGTGGAAGAAGGTGCTATGTTGTGAGGATGCTCAAGCAGCCCTCTGGAGTGGTCCATATGGTGAGGAACTGAGGCCTCCTGCCAACAGCCACTGGAGTGACCCATCTTGGAAATAGGCACCCAGCCCCAGTAAAGCTTCAAGGTGACTGCCGCTGTAGACAATGTCTTAATTGCAACCTCATGAGACTTTAAACTAGAAACACCCAGCTAAGCCTGTCTCAGATTCCCAACCTTAAGAAATTATTGAGATAATAAACAGTCTATTTGCTGGTAGGATTCTAATGTGTGGGTAATTTATTTCATAGCAATAGATAACTAATGCACTGGTTATCTTTTGCTATGAAATAAATTACCCACACATTAGAAGTTTTAAAGTGTTGAAAACACTTGTGTTATAATATTAAATAAGAGTGTATATGGTAGAAGCTCAACTATGCATATAATGGGATAACAGAGAAAATGCTTGAAGGAGGTACTTAGGAAATGTTAATGGCACTTACTTTTGCGTATTGGAATAATAAATTTTTCCTTTTTAAAAATTTTATGATTTTCTCAGTTTTTTTTAAGGATGTATGCTTCTTTAGAACAGGTAAATAAAGTCAAAGAAAAAACAACAAAATAGTATAATTTAAAAAATATTTTACTTTCTGGTCCCTCTTCAACTTTGAATTTTCTAAAGTCCTACATTCATTTGATCATCTTTTTCATACCTAACTCATATTTTTCCCTTCAGTTTTCTTCTTAACAAATTATTCCCGTTTGTTAAAATTAAGTGGTTAAGCATGAAGGTCAGAAAGTTGAGATAACTCAGCCAGAGGTAGAGAAATGATTATGCAGAAGTTAATGGCTAGCTCTTTTTCAATTTTAATGAGTACATCAACATGATTAAATTGTGATGGGATGTGCTTGACTTGGGACAAATGCCAACACCCTTCTTTTCAACAGCCATGCCCTTTGGAGTCTTATCAGAACTTGAAGAAGATACAGAACGATCTTTAGATGAGAGGGTTTTTATTAGCATCACCATGACTGGTACACCACTGTGTGTGTGTGTCATCAGGCTTACTCTAAACTAGACGTGATTCCAAATTGGAGATTTTAAAGTTAGCTCCATGTTCAGCCCATTTCCCAAGATCTTGATGACAAAATAATATCAGAAGCAGAGTCTACCTTCCCTTGCCTTGATTTCTCACCTCAAATTCTGAGATGTTCACCTGTTGGTTTCCTTCTGCAGGCGGGGCTGTCTTATATTCCTTCTCTCACCCTGGAGTGCCGGAGCAGGCATTGCTCTGTGTCCTAATTTAATCAGGTTTCCTGTCTCTCTAGCGAAAGTGCAAACAGGAATCCAAAAAAAAAAAAAAAAAAGGGAGCGGGGGTTGGAAGGTTCTCCTCCCTTTTCTTAGAACATTTTCCTTAGAAGAGTTGGAATTGTAAATTCTTTCCCTTTCTGTTTAAGATGCATATAAATACTTTTAAAAGCCAAATAAGCTTCACACCAGTTCTACAACCTAAAAGGATGTTTTCCTTGAGGCCTGTATCCTTGAAGTAATGTAAACATGAAGGAAGACAGAGACTCCATCTCCCCATCTCAAGGAGGGTGGGAGTTTAGACATCTGGCTCCAAGTTGTAAACCTACCTACTTGTCATGGAAATAGGAGAAGTTTTAATTTTCCTTTGGATAAAGGCAATCAGCTCCCACAGATGGCCACCCCAGTTATTACCAGGTGAATTTAGGATAAACTATATTTAACAAGTGGTGTTGTCAAATCTTCTTACTTGGAGACTAGTTATTTCTGTCTTGAGAACACGTATGGAAAGCAGTGATATAAAAGTCTGAGGTTTTTTTCTGCCTCTGTGATCTCTTTAGCAGATTGCCAGTGATGTGCATCGCAGCCTGCGTTAATGCTTATTCAATAATAAAAATGGGTTCTGTCTCCTCTACCTTTAAGGAGAGGTTTCACGGGTTGGCAGGAGATTTTATTTTTAATTACATCCCCCAAACCTGACAGATGGCAGGCTACTTAAGGACAGCAAGGCTATGTTATTCGATTAAATTTGACAATCAGTCCGTGTATGTGTGAGGCACTGCCTGGTCAAAAACATAAATACGATATTGCACTCACTGCAAAGATGTTTATCATCAGATTAAGCAGACATAGGTTGGTAGCCTGATAGAAGAGAGCACTGTGCTTGGAGCCAGAGGGCTTGGGTAGCAAACAGGATCTACCAGCTATGAGCCAGGTGGCAACTGCCAGCCCACAGTGAGCTTCAATGCCCTCATTTGTAAAATGTTGCAAATGTAACAATAGCTCAACAAATTGCAGCTTTTTTTTTTTTCATTTAATTCTCCCCAAGCAACCCTGATGTGTAGTATGGCTATACAATGTCTGAAAATATACAGACATAAAATTAGTTATGCAAAGCTAAAAGAAATTTCTTGGTTTTCCGACAAATGAATTGAATTTGGTGCAGAATCCCTCCATTGCTGTTGGTGGCTGGAAACACAATCTGGTTACATCAATTCAATGTAGTCCTTTCAAGCTCAGTTACATTTGACTAAATGATCATTTTCCTTTAGGGGTGGTTTCAGGTCAAGATTATCCACTATAAGCTGGGTAATTCATCCTCCATCCCCCATCGGGGTACTGATGAGGCTGTTTCTCTCTGCTGACTTGGCCACCATCTCAGCTCCCAAAGTTAAGAGCTCTGATTCCCAGTGATGTCCTCCATATGCTATTCCTAGAGTACTGGAACACAGTGCATGGAGTTGGTGGCTTCAAACAACAAACATTTATTTGATCACAGTTCTGGAGGCCAGAGTCCCAAATTGAGCTGTCGGCAAGACCATGTGCTCTCTGAAGGCCATGGGGGAGAATCCTTCCTTGTCTCTTCTGCCTGCTGGTGGCCCCCATTGTCCCTTGGCTTGTGGCTTCATAACAGCAGTCACTTGTCCTCTATCTGCACAGTTTTCTCTCTGTGTCTTGTGCCCTTCTGTCTCTTATAAGGACACTTCTCATTGGCTTTAGGACCTACCCAGGTAATCCAGGATGACCTCATCACAAGATCCTTCATTTAATTACAACTGCAAAGACCCTTTTTCCAATAAGGCCATGTTCATAGGTTCTGTGGGTTAAGCCACGGTCATATCTTCTGGGGGCCCCCATTTAATCCACTATACTCTCTGCTTGGTCTTTTTTTTTTTTTCTGAGACAAGGTCTCACTTTGTCACCCAGGCTGGAGTGCAGTGGTACGATCTCAGCTCACTGCAGCCTCCACCTCTTGGGCTCAAGCAATCCTCCCACCTCAGCCCTCAAAGTAGTTGAGACTATAGGTGCCCATCACCATGCCCAGTTACTTTTATTTTTGCATTTTTTTGTTCGAGACCACGCTGGTCTCGAACACTGAGCTCATGCAATCTGTGCATCTTGGCCTCCCAAAATGCTAAGATTATCGGCATGAGCCACTGCACCTGGCCTCCGCATGGTATTTGGCTTGGGCTGTTTTTCCCACAACAGATGTATCAGCTCTCAACTCTCAGGGAAACTTACAAAGGACTGTCATTCCTCTCAGAACTAATGGAGAGTTGTTCTTGTGGGAAATTCCTGGCCTCTCCACCTAGAACTCTCAGGCAGCTGCCCAACTCTGTTCAGGCTGCTCCTGGTCCATGAGGGGCCCACAGCAAGGTTCTCTCCCCATCAAATTCCAAGAAGAATTAGGGTCAAGTCTTGGGTGTCAAAACACACCTGAGTGGGTACCAACATTGACACTGCCCCAAAGTGAGGTGCATGGGCATCTCCCACAGAAACACATCCCCTCCTTCACTCTCTCTCCGTGACTGTAACTGTCTGTCCGTCTCTCTCTCTCCAGGGCTTTCTGTCTCCCTCATGCTCTACCTCAGAAAATAGTCTTATTTCTGGAAAAAGCAGAAAAGTGAAAGAAAATTGGAATGTGGATGGGAAGGGCAGCCACGCAAGTGTGAAAAAGAAGGACCGGAAATGAAGTCCCATCCAAAATTCACACATTGAGTTCTGTACCATCTGAAGCATTGAGCCCATCTGGGCACATGGGCCAGGGGACAGCTTCCGAACACTACTTATTGAAGATTATGAGACATGAGACCCAAGGACGCTCTCCCAAGCCATGCAGATGCCAAGGAGAGAGCTGATTTTGGAAGAGAGCTGTGAGAAAGGCATTCCAGGTGGCGTGGTCAGGGCCTAGTGAGTGACAAAGTCTGGCTGGAGTCTGGCTTCCAGGCAGAGGGCTTGGGGGCTGGAGAGGAAGGCAGGGTGGGCAGGCATCTTGAGCGCCACAGAGGTCATGGATGTGAGAGGGAGG